GAGTTAAACAGCATCTTGTTCAAGTTGGCCCATCTCTCCTGCCTGTCTGATCTTTGGGGTCCTGGTTTTATTGTTTAGTACAGAAGCTTCTCACCAGCCACCCATTTGTGCCTTATGTCATCATTTAGCCTGTAGATTTTTTTTTAGGTTGAATTTGAGTGAGACAAGAAATGGAGCACTAGGAACTCCATCTAGAAGTAGAGAAAATTCTACCAATTTAGGATTTGAACCATTTTGGGGCTGGTCATTTTATCAGTCATGACTCCATCCCCTGGACTCTCAGGATTCTGTCTGTTTCTCGATTTTATCCTTGAGACGATCACTAGAGAACTTGTCAGAAGATCTGCCACAATCTGAGTGTGATGTGCCTACTGCATGTCCTAGAAAACAAGGCATATCCCATTGACCAACTGCTAGCTCTGGACACCACTCAGGGTTTCCTGTCCTAAGGTCCCCCTTTCAGGAGTCTTTCTTAGCCATTGGCCATAATCAACAGCAAACCCTTCTAGAACTTCCTCTGCACCCTACTTGTCTCCATCCCAGACCCGGGGAATTGCAGTGGAATTGCATCATACAAAAACTTAACAAAGGAGCTGATTTGAGAACTTAATCTCTCTCCCTTTATTCCCTAGCTAAGGAGCCCACCCACAAACTCCGACAAAACACACCATTGCCTGGGGCATGGCAGTGAGGAACTGTAACAGGAAATGCAAATTTGAGAAGTCAGACAAAAGGAGGCCACAGCCTAGTTCACTACTTAGAGCTGTGTGACCTCAGGGAAATTATTTACCTCTCTGTGCCTCACTTTCCTCATCTATGAAGGGAAATATAACTTACTTCATAGGGGTTATGTGAGAAATAACAGTGGTGTTTAGCACCCAATAACTGCACCATCATTACTATTACAATTATTATTGTTGTTATTATTACCACTGCTATTATGGTGGTGATTTTTTCAAAAAACAATTTATGTGGATCTAATCAATATTCAGACTTACATCCAACAATCATTCTATACCTAAGTGCCAGTCTGTTTCACATATATTATCTCATTTAATTTTCTCAACAATAAACAAATCTATTAACTTGTATTAAAGATACAGGAACACTTTTGAGTTCCCTCCCTGCTACCATTCACTCTGGGGATTTGATAGTTACCTTGAGGGTGGAAAGAATCTGCCCACAGACCTCCCAGTGTTCCTCCCTTTAGTCTGGCTCCATGCCACTCAAACTCCCATGGCCCTAAGAATTACCACTCAGGATCATACACAGAAACTAGCCACAGCAGATGCTGTTGGTGCCCCAGCCAGATCTCCTGGGATCCCTTTTAGGGGTTTGGTGAGGTTTGCCCATCCTCTGCGCACATCCAGCTGTGCAGGTGCCCCTGCTAACAGCCCACCCCTTCCTTGGGCAACTGGAGCCTCCCAACCGGGAGGTGCCTGGGACTCACGTCCCACCCAGCAAACTGCAGCAATGATGACTGGCTGGAGTGGTAGTCAGACACCTGTGGGATTCACCTCTGGAGCTCCCCGCGGGATTAGGCTGAGGCTTGCTCTGAAGACACATCTAAGTTTGGCCTCTTCCCTCTTTGTCTGTCCCTTACAGCTTTCTCTTGAGAACGTGTCTGTAATAAATCACCTGCACACGATTTCCTGTCCTAGGCTCTGCTTCTGGGGGACATCTGTGTGTCTTTATGGAAAATTTAAACATTTTCAAGAGAGACTTTTACTGTAAGCTAGTTGTTATCTCTGCATTAGGTTTAGCACCAACCTAATCACATCCATCACCTTCCTGACACCAGGTAGAGGGTTTCAGACTCATCTCCCTTGTACTCTGCTGCCCTCTGCTCCTACCCCTGCCTCTTGCATTCAGCCTGTGCGAGAGCCATATTTGTCTCCTCCAGTGAGTCAGTAGCTCCCAGATTTGTGGGGACCACAGGTCTTCATCCCTCTGGTCCCCAGAGTACTTCACCTGGCGCGTTACACCTGGTAGAAACTCAGAAGGTAGAACCTTGAGTTAACTTTGTGGGATTGAATCCACACACGATCAAGAAATTCAGTCCCTCTCTCCTACTCTGCCTCCTTCCAGACTTCTCTAAACTAAAAAGACTTTTTCTACCCCATAATCAGAACTGACAACAGAAGTATTAACAGGGTCCATAGTTCTTGAATCTGCTGACCTCAATTTCCAGATTATTGCTGTAATAGCTGGCGTCACTGTTTCACACAGGTTGTGGAAATCTCCCCCATATGTGTGTGTGTTGGGATGGGGATTGAGGCTCTTGCTCTTCCTTCCTGAGGCCCCCTAGCCCCTCCCTATTCTCTCCCATTAGCATCTCTCTGGGGCTCAGTTCCCTGGGCCTGAGGGGGAGAGGGGTTTGCTCATGGGCCGTCTGTGACTTCAGACCGTAAGGAGCATTTCCTAGAGGTAACTGCAAGTAATAAAAAACAGTAATAGTCATCGATGTGACTGCCCTGTGCACAGAGTACATTTACAGTTTCCCCCTCCTTCGTTTCTCAATGCACTTACAGTTATTAACTTAATTCTAATAATAGCTATCAATTAATGAGCCCCTACATCCCAGGCAGTGTCCTGAGCACTGCACATGCTATTGAATGTGATGCTCGAAACAGCCACCCAGCAGGGGATGTGTAATTCCAAGTGCCTGGAACACTCCTCCCAGTGAGCTGCGTCTGATTTTCTCACGGATGTCACATCTTTGTCCATGTGTCAGCTACTCAGTGAGGCCTTCCTGGCACCCTATTTAACATTGCAACTCCACCCGCTTTGTTCTTCTTCATAATAGTTACCCCACTTGACGTGCACCCTATTTTACTTATTCACTGTGCTTTGTTTTTTGCTGTATTGCTTCGGCTTAGAACCAGGTACCTGGGACCTAGTAGGTGCCTGGTAAATATTTGTTAAATGATTGAATGGTTTAGATAATTAGCAACCATATCATTGATTTAAAAAAACAAAACAAAACAAAACAAATAGGCTGAGCAAAGATAAATGATTTACCCAATATCGTACAGGTAGCAAGTGACAGAGTTTATTCAAAGCTGCCCGATCTGGCTGACTCAAAAGCCCATGTTCTTAACCATCGAGATATTCTGTTCCTTCAGCTAGCATTTCCAGCACCCCCTCTAAGCCAGACTTGGGTCAGGCAGGAGGGGTGTAAGACATAAGGTTTGCCCCGCAAGGAACTTGCTATTCAAACAACCACATGAGCTTCATGAGAGGGAGAGCAGAAACGACTCTCCCGTGTTAATAGTGGAGGATATTGTGGTCCCCTCTCTGACCAGGTTATTTGTGTGTACGTCTGCCCCTTTCCACTGGACAGTGAGCCTGTGAGCTCCTTGACTGGGACTGGGACCTGTGATTTTCTCTGTACCTCTGATGCCTTGTATAATACTGGCTCTTAGTCCTCGAAACACGTTTGTTGATTGAATGCATTAGGAAATTGTAGCTCAGCGAGGCAGAGTAGCTATGCTTGGGTCCCACTGTGTATTGCTGGTGAGCCTATCAGATCTGCATCCTAGGTCTTCTGAATCTAAATGCGAGTGTCTCCAAATGTTGTGTTTTTGGGTGCTGCTTGGCTGCTCTCCCCCGTTTATTTAAACACAATCACAAATGACTGCAGATAATGTACAGCACAGGGAAGAATCCTACTCCTTCTGCTGTCAGATAAATTTGAAAGATCAAAATAATGTGGTTTAGCAATTTGTTTGAATTGATGCCTAGCCTTCCAAAGCTTGCAAGTTTGACTTCCTCAAGTCAGGGGGAAAAAATAGCTGTTTCCTTATGAAAAGCAGTGTAGGGGAGTGTATCATCCCATGGGAGCGTCTACAGAAGCCCTGTGTACAGACTCTGTCCGGGTCCCTGAGTGAAACAGTCAAAGGAAGAGTTCGGTGACATGGTGGTTGTAGTAACATTACTATAATGACAGATGTCGTGATAATAGGAATGGCTAATAGTTTTCAGTGCTCACTATATGCCAGGTGCTATGTTAGGCCCTTAAATGTATTACCCCATTTAGTTCTCATAATAAGCCCTGTTATAAGTTGAATTGCGTCCTCCCAAAATCCATATGTTGAACTCCTGACCCAAAGCACCTCAGAATGTGACCTGACTTGGAAATAGAGTCATTACAGATGTAATTAAGATGAGGTCATACTGGAGTACGATAACCCAGTGTAACTAGCGTCCTCTTAGAACAGGGAGATTTGGAGACAGACATGCATCCAGGGAGAAACCCACGAGAAGATGAAGGCAGAGATGGAGTGATGCTTCTGTAAGCCAAGGAATGCAGATGATGGCCAGCAAGCTACCAAAAGCTGGGGGAGAGGCGTGGAACTGGTTCTTCCTCACAGCCCTCCAGAAAGAACCAGCCCTGCCGTCACCTTGATCTTGGGCCTGTAGCCTCCAGAACTGAGAGAACTTACATTTTATTCACTTCTTTCCTGACTTGGGGGGAGGGAGGTATTATATACCCCATGTTACATATTCTTCTTATTCATGTATTTTAAAATAACATATTTCTTTTTGTGATTACTAAAATAATACATGTTCATTATAGAAAATGTAGAAAAATATAAGACAAGCACCAAAGAGAAAATCAGAGGCACCTGTAACTTCATCATTGAAGTAACTATGGAACACTGTAAGCACTTACACTTCACACTCAGATGTGCTCACTGTCCAGTGGAAAGGGGCAGACGAACACACAAATAACCTGGTCAGAGAGGGGACCACAATATCCTCCACTATTAACACGGGAGAGTCGTTTCTGCTCTCCCTCTCATGAAGCTCATGTGGTTGTTTGAATAGCAAGTTCCTTGCGGGGCAAACCTTATGTCTTACCCCTCCTGCCTGACTCAAGTCTGGCTTAGAGGGGGTGCTGGAAATGCTAGCTGAAGGAACAGAATATCTCGATGGTTAAGAACATGGGCTTTTGAGTCAGCCAGATCTTTTAAAAAAAAAAAATCCTTTCCAACCATTTGTTTTGATCCCTCACATTATAAAGCTTTTTCTATGGCAACAGTTCTCAATCTTTTAACCCCACCTTTGCTTTTTTTTTTAAATTGTGATAAAATATACATACCATAAAATTTACCATTAACCATTTGTAAGTATTCAGTTTAGTGGCATTAAGTACATTCACACTGTTGTGCAACCATCACCACCATCCATCTGCAGAACTTTTTCATCTTCCCAAACTGAAATTCTGTCCCCATTAAACAGTAACTCCCCATTAGGTGCAGTCATCTTAAAGCTATTATTTATTATGGGAAAGCTGATACTATTCATTTATTATTTATTTTCAAAAGCATTTGTAAAGATATCATAAGTCATTTGCTTACTAATTTTAGAGGGAAATTATGGTATTTGCAAGCTTACTCTAACCAAATAGTGTTTAGCCCAGCAACAGTTTGGTTGTCTTTTCATGTAGAAACCTAAGAATGTACATTAAAAAAAATGTTGAGAATATAGTGAGCTAACATTTTAAAGTAAATAATATAGTTAAGCATTAGTGATTTCCCTACTATTGAGGAAAATCCGTAAAGATACACCCAGATCCTGTTTGGAGAACAGTCTGAAGAGGTCCGTAGTGCATCCCATGCCTTTCTCTCTGTGTGCGGCCAGAGTACCCTCTCAGTGTGTGTCAAGGTATGTTAGCCCGTGAGCTTGCTAAGCAGGAGGGAAGTGTTCTCCAATCAGGGGAGGACAGCTGACATAAATTTCAGTTGACAAGTCCCACAGCTTTGAACACTAATGGATGCCTCATAGAGAGGTTATTCACACACACTTGGATGTGACCCTCTGTGCCTGCCTGACTGATGATGGCCAGCCCAGCATGAGGAGGTGAAAGAAGCTGGAAAGATCCATTTTCTAATGGAATTGCAACACTCTCCCACCCTCTTTCTTCTTTCTCAGTGGAATTCAAGCTTAGGATTCTAGCTTAAGCCAGTATTTGATAATGTTAACCTAAAGTAATAAAGTAGCCAGTTATTTTACCAGCAAAATGGGTTTGTTCAGGAGCAGCAAAGAATTGAAGTTCAGGACATGCAGCAGTGGCAAACCATATGCAAGTCCAGTTAAGCAAAAGAGAGGAAACTTTTTTATAGAAGAAAAGGGGAAGTTGGGAGGGGCTGTTATAAATAGAGATCCATTGGAGGAAATTGAGAATTTGAAGTATAGAGGCTTTTCATTGGCTGAGCTGTTGCCAGGCTAGGAGAAATCTTTCTTCCTTCTGCTAGTGGTAGTAAAGTAGGGTCACTTCCTACCCAAGATGCAGAGTATATCTCTTCTTGGGATCTATATTGAGTGAGTGATTTATGCATGAGAGCTCCCCCTTCTGGCCTCCTGACAACATTTTAATGAAAATTTATTAATCTTCACAGCAAGTGGAGACCTAGGGTCTAGACAGAGCAGTGTAAATTGTGGAAGGGGCAGTGGAAGTGGGGATAAGGTGGGGAAAATACTAGAGGGGGTTGCCTACCTTTGTCTTCATACGAGGCAATAGTATCAAATGCTTAGGAACATGGACTCTGGAGACACTCTTCCCTGGTTCACATCTGTAAAATGGGATAATGCCTTAGGTTGGGCTCCCTGTTAACAGACTCAGGGACAGAGAGTTGCATGCAGAAGGTTTGTAAGAGAATAAGCTTAGGAAATACACTGTAAGGAAGTGAGGCTGGCAGATTGGGCAGAGCAAGAAGTTGATCCGAAGTTTGCAATTGAGGCCGCAGCTGACCTTAGAGGAGTTCTAGAGCTGGGATGGCCCTCAGAGTTGTTCAAAGTGAGGCATGGGCCTGGGCCTTTAGATCTTCTCATCAGCCAGTCACTGGTCATGGCTGGGCCCTGGGACGGGGTGTATCCTTGGGCAAGACTATTCCCCATGGTGGAGGCACGGTAAGGCTCCAAGCAAGGAGCCTTGCTGAGAACCTCAGTATCCAGTACTCCCAGGAGTTGGAGGATGTTGCCTCAGCCATAAAGAGGGGATATGAGCAGAGCCCTCCAGTATCCCCTACAGATAACAGTAGCCCTTCTTCAAAGGGTTGTGAGGATTAAAGAGATTTATACATGCAGAGTGCTTGGGACATAGTAGGTGCTAAGTTACTGAGAGGATGATGAAGAAAGATGCATTTGGATACCAGCTGCACACAGTCCTCTAGATCCTCAAACACTTACAGTTAATTTTCCAGGAGATACTGGGGTAGATGGGACCCCATATCACTGCTTCAGTTGCATCCTTTCAGTTCTTGCCATCTTTGGTAATTCACATTCTCACGTTCATAGGCACAGCAGCAAACACACTCACACGCACTCACGTATACTTACACACACTCCTAAATGTGTGATTTATGGGCATACTTGTTCATTCGCACATACAGCGATTTATCAATCTATTCCATTGGTTTTCAAATTTGTTTTTCAAAAGAGCTGTTACATATAAGCCCAATATCATTGTCCCTCATTTAACATTTGCACTCGCATCAACATTAAAATTACATTTAACTTTACCTTTTTTCCCCCCAAATTTGTTCCTTGGAAGACTTCGTTAACCCTCCCTTTTTATTTAAAAATCAGCAAGTACATTTCTGCAGGAACAAAGATGAAGCAAAGGCTTAAGGGGGAACCTGACCCAAACCCTCAGTTCAGCTCACCCAGGTCAGGCCCCTGAGAGAGGCCCACGGAGAGCAGCGGTGGTGGCAGGTCCCTGACAGTGCCTCAGAGATGGGAGAAGAGATGATCTAGGGTGGTACCCAAACCTGCGCTCTCTTTTTTCTTAATTAAAGTATAGTTGATTTACAATATTATGTTAGTTTCAGATGTACAACATAGTGATTTATCATTTGTATAGATTATACTCCATTTAACGTTATTATAAAATATTGACTACATTCTCTGTGTTGTGTAATATATCCTTGTTGCTTACTTATTTTATACATAGTAGTTTGTACCTCTTAATCCTCTACCCCTATCTTACCCCATCCTCCGCCCCTCTCCCCACCGGTAACCACTTAGTTTGTTCTCTATATCTGTGAGTCTGTTTCTGTTTTGTTATATTCATTCATTTGTTTTATTGTTTAGATTCCACATACAGGTGATAACATACAGTATTTATCTTTCTCTGTTTGACTTATTTCACTAAGTGTAATACCCTCTAGGTCCCTCCATGTTACTGCAAATGGCAGAACTTTAATATGGCTGAATAGTAATATTCCATTGTGTATGTGTGTACATCATCTTTATCTATTCATCTATTGATGGACACTTGGGTTGCTTCCATATCTTGGCTATGGTAAATAATGCTGCTAGGAACATTGGGGTGCATGTATCTTTTCAGATTAGTGTTTTCATTTTTTTCAGATATATACCCAGGAGTGAAATTGCTAGATCATATGGTAGTTCTATTTTTAGTTTTTCGAGGACCTACACACATTATTTTAATAGCTGTGTTTGATTTTAATGTGTACTATAAAAGTATAACTAGCATTTAAGGTAGCAAGATAAGTTTTCTTTTTTAGTTTTCTTTTTAAGAAGCAGATATTTAATAAAGAAAAGCACAGATGGCTACAAAAATTGTGAAGGTGACACATGTATGAAGGAGGTTTCAGAAACAGAGTCCTCCTTGTTGCTTTATCTTCACTTTTATTGAAAGGCACTGTGGTCATCCTCTTAAAAGGTTAAGAAATGAATCATAAAAGAGTGGGAAAGAGAATGAGGAAGAGTGAGAGACTGACCAACAGCAGAACTTTGTTTTCCTTGGCCAGCTTGTGTAGTTACCAAAGTAGCAAACAGTACTGTACTTTTACACCTAAGTTTCTGGTGGTAGGGTTAATAGCCTTCTTGTTTAATGCCCTTTCACCACATTTGTGTGTTTTTAGTAGTATAATATGATTGGCCAGGGGGTGGGTGTCCGTGAAACAGACAAGAAAAGAACTGTGAAGCTGCTTGTGGTGGCCCTCAATCCCAAGCAGCATTATGTGGAGATCCTTGCATTAGTCTCCATTCTGCAGTCATTTTGATTCCCAAGTAGGTGGCCAGCTTTACAACAGAGGTTTCTACTACCCATTCCTTGAGGACAGGATCTGTCTGAGATTCACCCTCTGTTCTCAGGTCCCAGGTCACATTCTGACCTGTATTTGAGTCCCAACTGATGGTAAAGGAACAAATACATCAGATATATTTTTATGACCACCCCTGTCTCCAACCTCTTCAACATCTCTTCAGGGCTTTATGCATGGTAGATACACAGGAAAGCCTGGGTAGCTGGTTGGATGGGTGAGAGGACGAGTGGAGAGGTAGGCAGATGAGTAGACAGTTGGATGGTCGAGTGGATGAATGGATAGATGGATATGGGGGTAGGTGAATGGATGATGGAGAAAGAGAGAGATGAGT